TTCTACACTGACTTAACATGGTGTGTTATTGTTAATACCATTAAACCCTACACTGACCTAACATGGTGTGTTAGTGTTAATACCATTCAACCCTACACTGACTTAACACGGTGTGTTATTGTTAATACCATTAAACTCTACACTGACTTAACATGGTGAGTTATTGTTAATACCATTCAACCCTACATTGATTTAACATGGTGTGTTAGTGTTAATACCGTAACACACTACACTGACTTAACATGGTGTGGTAGTGGTATTACCGTTATACACTACACTATCGGCCTCAGGAAATACGAAACCCTTTAGGGTCATACCATCCCGTATACCCTGCCAAAAATCCGTGTAACGAATTTATTACCCCTTTGAGTCTTTTATAATAAAAACAAAGAAAAATAACAGGCACAGTACCTCATTTAGTTTCGTTTTATCAAATTCCTCTAACTGTTCTTCCTGATTCTTTTCTTTTAAATACTACGTCCTCAGCATGTTTGCCGCTCGTCTGTTCGATTTTTGTGTGTTATGTGGCACATAGTTAGCCCTTTTGGCGAGTGTTTCCTCATCAGTATGCGAAGCGAAACGTTTTGCCATTTTGTAAACAGCGAAGCAGACGACGAATGCGAGTTGTCTCCCGATGCCCGGCTGCAAGATACAAAGACACGTGACCCGTATACCCCTTGTAAAATCACATGATTCCACCGTATCACTGCTGAGAATCACGTGACATGACCGTATACCCCCTGAGATTTACGAATGCGGTTTGGTACACTGTAGTTTTTAACCAATCAGATTCCTAGATTTTTCTCAAAGGGGTAATAAGTATATAGATCACAACAATAATAAACACTGGAATAACTAAATGATGACTTTGAGCAACACTTATTCTTCTTTATATTTATTCTCTTACTCTACCCCAAAAAACCTAAACAGGATAAATAACTTTCTGTGCTGGTTTTTTTTATTATTATTTTTTAGTCTACCAGATTTGAAAACAAAAGAGACTTAATCCATCTTAATGTTTTAATATACTCTGTTTATAAAATTATCGTGATTTTTTTATTTCAGAGCCTGACCGCCAAGAAGGGCATGCCTCTCTAAACGGTAAATAGCTTTCTGTCTTTCTCGTCATGTATTTTAAGGAATTATTCATTAGACTGATGTATTTTAATACAGAAATAACTTATTCCTTGCGTCAATGCCTTCGCACAGCGTTTGTTTCCCCTGATTGCACTACCAAGCCGGTCTAAACATTCTGAAAAGGATTATGTTGTTCGATATGATTATTTGGGAGGGTTTTATATTGTTGTTTGGCATAGTACTGTCGTTGTAGTTTGTAGTAGTTTTTATAGTACTCCTTTAAACAGTGTTGGTACATTTGTACGATTGTTTGGGATAACAATGACAGTGTTGTTTTGAATAACATTGAAGGGATGCTTGGAGATAGCAATGTTATAGCAGTTTAAGACATTACTTCATCTACTTTGGTTTGTTGATGTTTAAGAAAATACTGACAGGGTCGTTTGGGATAGTATTGCTTTATAATAGAAGTGACAGCATTGTTAAAGACACCAGTGATAGGGTGTCTGTTGATAGCATTGATATCGAGTTGGTTTATCGTGTTACAGACTTACCCGAGATAACGTGGAGGAAACTCCAGAACGCTGTATGTCTGCTCTCAGCCGAGGAGAGTAAACTAATGGGTGTCCAGCTCGGGCTCAATGAGAGCCAGGTGGCAAAGGTGGAAGAAGACACGATGGACAACAAGGATCTGGCAATCAATGTGATAAGGAAATGGCATCTGTTGATGGCTAAAAATGACATGGTGAGTCAGCTGATGCGTGCTTTGGATGCAATAGGACGTCGGGACCTCATACAAAAGATCAAACAGGAATAACTAGAATGACCACCTCACATCGAACGCGTGTCGGATTATCCTCGGCACTGAAAATATAAGAAAAACTTCTTTGGACGAAATGTCACTATCTCTGAAAATCACAAACGTTTCTGCGTCGAAATATCAACGTTCGTGAAAATATTAGATAGACCAGTTGTTATGAAAGATCGGTATGGAAATACTTGGTAATTGAATCCAGGGTCGGGTCCTCCTAGAACCTGTCACAAGTTGGTAGTCGACCTTTAGTGGATTTAGATCATTGTAACATAACAGTACATATCGATGATATAGAGTTTTTCACAATGTGTTTTCATGGTTTAGCTTTCGAGCAAATTTTCTTTTTCATGGATAAAATACCGGTATCCACCTACTGTAGGCGCAGGGTATACTTTTACTCCGAATAAGTGTGTGCTCGTTAGCAAAGTAAAGTTGGACAGTTATTCGTTCGTCGTTATTCGTTATTGAATAACGAATAACGACTAACACTGTCTAACTTTACTTTCCTGCCTATTTTAGTCTTATTTAAACTCATGGGGGGGGGGGGGGGGGGGGAAAAAAAAAGGGGGGAACANGAGGGCTCCTCTGGTCATCACCACTAGGTATGTGAGGGGAAAAAAATGGGGATACTTCGGGTCATCACCACTAGGTATGTCAGGAGGGAAACAAACAGTGGGTGCTCATCTGGTCATCACCACTAGGTATGTCAGCAGGGCGAACACAGTGAGGGCTCCTCTGGTCATCACCACTAGGTATGTGAGGGGAAAAAAATGGGGATACTTCGGGTCATCACCACTAGGTATGTCAGGAGGGCGAACACAGTGAGGGCTCCTCTGGTCATCACCACTAGGTATGTCAGGAGAAAGAAAACAGTGAGGGCTCCTCTTGTCATCAAGACTAGGTATGTCAGGGAAATTCTTCGGGTCAATTCCACTAAGCGAAGAAAAAATTACTTCTGGTGTGAAGTTGTCAACTTATGGACCTCCAGCCGAACGAATTTCTCACGGTGGAGAACTGCTTTTATATCGGTTGACTGGCTCATGTAACATGTGGTTCCGAATGTGGACGTAACCTACGCATTACTACTTTCTTAGAGTTTTTGTTATGTAACTTTACTGGTTTTCATATCTATTTTTGTTTCTACGCTCAAGTATGATCATGGTCTTTACTGTACCATACAAGTTTATCATATGTTATGTAATTGATTTGATTGATTTTGTTATTGTTCTATTTCATATTATTTCTACAAAACTTACAACCTCTTTATGACTTGTGTAAAATCATATCAATTATTAGACTTTTTTTTCGTTTCTACTTTCATGACCAATGTGCATGTAAATACCATGTAACATGCTAACACGTTTCTATCATTGATATTTATGCGGAAGTTGGGATGTTTTTGTGTGTTAAATCCGCATGGTAACATGCGTAGTGGTGTGTGTAGGTGTGTGTGTGTAGGTGTGTGTGTGTAGGTGTGTGTGTGTGTGTATAATTAAACGATAATTCATTGATATTTCATTTTTCGTCGTTGTCTATTGTACAGCTACCGAAAAGAAATTCTTGTTTATTTACATCCGGGTTTTTATTACATGTATCACTTTTCTCCTAACGCCTTCTCTAAACTGTGTTTCTATTGGCTGTTACTTTTATGAAAGGGAATCCCCCACGATTGGTTCACGGTGATAATAAAACAAGTGTACGCACGTTCCCTCGTCAGTATAGTTGTCCTATGCTCGGTTATAACCGGAACAAGGGCGTAAAGCCCCATCAATCAATCAATCAATCCCTCGTCAGTCTGTTCAGGAGCTAGAAGTTTATACTGCTCATACTTTTTTTCTTCCTTCCCGTCCGACTGGTCACTGTGTAACTAAGGTGGGTATGTTGCCATGTGAGTGTCCGGACGAAGCCTATGTTGGATGGCCCATGCACGTGTTGTTTAGTCTGACTGTTACATTCTGACGGTAGCCTGGTGGGGCTCAATATTGTTATCGTTTTGTTATTGTTTTCTCTTGATTTTATTTCTTCTCCTTACTTTTATAAAATTTGTGTAAGTGTTACTCGTGAAATGTTTATATTAACTTCGCTAACTTAACTATAGAACGTTACAAGCTTCCCTTACGTCGAAAACAGTATATGTGGGCTGGGATATGCAAATTGTTCGCGAACTAAACAAAATTATGTAATTTCATCAACAGTAGGTAATGCAAATTTCAGCCTGTTACTTATATTGACCCGATCACAACGAATGCTGGGTTACTATTTTAATTGAAAGTAGAATGATTCACGGAAAAATAGTTCAGACTTAATCAGACGAACCGTGTTCATTCCTAAAGGTTGGTTGTTATCATGTGGAGGTACAACCTTAGAACATGTGAATGTAAGTACATAAATACGTTTAGTGTGTACACTATGGGCTGGATACTATCGAGTTGTGGCCAGATGACAGTCTGGTAGGTACAGGTCATCACGTCGGAAGATCCTCGCCCTTTAACCTTCATTGACCTATGATCAATCAGTTCAGCGTATGAAACGTCACGTCACAGCTGACGTCATCCATTATTTAAAAAAATAACACAACACCATTAGCTATTGTTCTATTAACTTTAATCTGCTCCGTACATCTACTACAGTGACACCTCCGTGTTCCCGCCATCTCGAGTTGATGACGTAATGTCGACGTCATTAGGGTTTAAACGCTTAACAAATCGTTTGAATAGGACAAAATCACAGTGTTGATAGGATAGGGCGATTTTGTAATTTCTGATACCAAAATATTGCTTGAAAATAAAAAGTTATTTTACCAGTATTAACAGATAACTGAAGAATTTGTCCCAATTCTATAGGGTTTCAAACATTTCTTTCCCTCTTTTTCGCAGCATGAGTCCCTTCCTTATAAGATAACAAATGGTTACTGTGATAAGTGTTTTCCAGTTCACATGCCCTTCCTACTAATTGTCACGTAATTGCGAGTACACGGAGGTTAAATATTAATTGCATACTTTATTTGTGACCATCATGACCCATGGCTCCATTTCTTATCACATGATATGACGTACATAAGAAAACAAGACTATAATATAGCGACATCTGATCCGTAGATTCGTCCTTTCGTTATAACATTCCAAACATTTTCTATCTTTCTTTTCGCCTGAGTGAGAATATCACAGTGATATAGTCCTTACTCATGTATCGCAAAACTATTTCCATGTTAAAATTTTAGTAACTTTAAGTTAACTGTTGATAGAGATAAAGATAGGATCAGATCAACGAACAATAACTCTTAATGACAGTGTGCTATATATCGCATTATAAAATATCGTAGACTCTATGAAAGACGAAATATTGTAGAGATGAAAGAGCCTGCCCTATAATGGGCGCGGCCTAAAGAGGGCGTGTCTATATAATGGGCGCGGCCTAAACAGCGCATGCCTATACTGGGCGTGTACTATCATGTGCGAGTCATATACAATCTCCACTACGATGTGTAGAAATACTTGAGTGCATGTTCCTAAATAAATAATTACAGCATACTATGGATACAGTATGTTATAGACACTGTATAGAGACATTGCCTCTTCCGGTTATTATAACCCCTTTCCTAACCATTTTCAAAATTCAGACGTCGATTTGTATATAAATATATTTTTGTTTTGCGGTTATCTCCCCTTCAATGGAAAACTCTTTTGAAGAGATTTCTGCGATCTTTCTTTATAAAACAACATGATTTTTCATAAATTGGTACGGATTTGTGGTTTTCCATGGGAATGATGTCACAGCCGATATTTATATGTACTCATGGTAAGCAACATATACCATGCACCTATGTTATATTATTGCTTAAAACAAAATTAAAACAGTCAAATACAATTACTTGTAAGAAGACAAGTACATAACATTTAAAACCGAACACGGCAAAAGTTATCAGATATGAGTACTCGTATACCAAAAACTTATTAACGTTCGGTATTTACTATCTCATGAATATGTATGATTACCTGTGACGAAGAATTTCATGAATATGCATTGTAATTAAAACTAATGAATATGTATTATGGCAGTTTCTGGAATATACAAGGCTACTGGATACAAATCAACAGCTGTACATAAGGGAGAAGCGCGAGGAACATACATGTTAAAATTATTACAAAGTAAACTTCAAGTATCGATATTGTTATATTGTGTTCATATAGCGAGTATAGATAATCATAAATTGGAGATAGGACTTCAGAACTAATCACTTTAGCATCGCATATTGTGTATCAAAGCAATAGTAATAGTTTAGTATATAAAAAGCTAGTTGTTCTATCTTAGAAAATAAACGTGTAAAAATGAAACTGTTTCAAAGATCATCAAAGATCAATAGATAAGTTACAGGGTATCATTAAATGAAATTTAAGCAAAATCACAAGCTGTTGAAGTTCACAGTCAGTAGGATTAACGCTTGGCTAAGTGAGACAACCGTATATAAACCGACTCAACAACATATTAGTTTCAAATTGCATAATAGTCATACTCGTCATACGTAAACCAACACTGTACTGCGCATGCGGAAACACCGTTCCGGTATCAGCGAATCATATGTGCCTTCATGTGAGTAAATTTTACGGATGTTTTACATGGTAAGCAAGAATCGCCACCGCCAAGGCGTTTGAACCAAGGAATTTTGAAGGTTCATGCGTCGTATCCAAAAATCAACGACTGCCCAAGCGTGGTAACTAAAGGTTGTAGACTTTTCAGGCGCCGTATCCAAGAATCAACGACTGCCCAAGCGTGGTAACCAAGGGTTGTAGACTTTTCAGGCGCCGTATCCAAGAATCAACGACTGCCAAAGCGTGGTAACTAAGGGTTGTAGTCTGTTCAGGCGCCGTATCCAAGAATCAACAACTACCCAAGCGCGGTAACTAAGGGTTGTAGATTGTGTAGGCGCCGTATCCAAAGGCTTGGACTGCCAAAGCGTGGTAACTAAGGGTGGTAGTCTGTTCAGGCGCCGTATCCAAGAATCAGCAACTACCCAAGCCTGGTAACTAAGAGTTGTAGATTGTATAGGCGCCGTATCCAAGGGCTTGGACTGCATTGTGTGGAAAACCCAGGGCAATCGACTCTTAACAAGAATATATGCCTTCTGTATTAAGACTCGAAAGTATAGAAGGCGTTTTATGCTGTAGACATTTGCGCGGGATGTATTCTGTCATGATATGCGTAACTCTACGAACCGGAAGTCCATCCATGCTGGTCAGTTGGTTGTGCTTGGATACCTAACACTTGTAATATCTGAAAACCGGATGCGCTGTCAATCCGCGAGGAGGACTGTTTGCGCAGTATTAAGATGCGATAACAACGTCCTTATTGCAGCAACAACAGTAATAATCTCTAGACAATTTGTTACAGAAAATCTCGAGAAAACAAACGTAATGTTGAATTAAGTCTTATGGCTACACTTTTTTCGTTCAATGTTCATGAAAGCTACGAAATAGCCCGGGTGTCACATTCACACACGTACGTTCCCTCATACACGATCACCCTCTTACACACTTCCTGTACGAGCTCCCATAGTCACTCAGTCCGATTTGTATATGATCGTAGACAGAATCAATTCAATAAGGGTAATTGACACTGGACGTGTTCCGGTGATATTTTCAACTCGTTGATAAGTTAAAATGTCCCATATACGTATCCCATTGTTCTGTTGCTCTTTTGCAATTTTATCGTCTGTCACATATGCGCATCACGATCCAGACGCCCACTTCTTACACAATCGTACGTAGCGCACACAGTGCATATGTTCATGTAATTTCGGATGAAGAACTAACATCGTTTCGATATAAAATAGTTTAAGAGAAATATCAAGTAAAATTTCTTAGAAATGTGACTGTCATTGTCAGAAAACACTGTTCACACCCCCTGATGACGTCATAACGACGGGGACAGAATGACCGGAAGTTGTATGGCCCTGTGATATTATTGCTGCTACGTCTACATATACAATAAACAATGGTGATATTTACATTTCCTCAATACTACATATACTTTGATTCTTCCGTGAGGTGTGTCAGCACCTGTTTGATTGGTCCGTGAGGTGTGTCAGCACCTATTTGATTGGTCCGTGGAGTGCCAGTGGCACTTCCTTGATTAATTTGTACACACTGGCAGTTGTATAGGCGTTCGTGTGAACAGTTTATGGCCAAGGGATTTTTGAGATTTCGATTTCTTTTTGCTACTTGATGACACTTGACGAAGCTTGAGAATTTGACTCCGACAAATGACGCATCGAAGCGGAAGTGATCTCTGCGCAATCGCTGTCTGTATGGTCTTCACGAAGCACTTCCGGCATACGACCTTGTGTTCGCATGGGTAGGTCTGCATTGTTGCCTTGGCTGCCATACATATCACACACTGTAATGTATAAAGGACAAATGTATCACTTTATAGAAACGGATTCACACACAATATACTGCGATTGGATTAAAAAAACATGGGCTTTATCGATTAAAGTGTGCATCCATGATCTTGCAATAAAAAACGTTGGTATGCAATTTCTATTCAAATACGGTATCAGTTTCGGTATTAAACTCTCAAAATAACCCGAGGTTTAGAATGATGAGTCAAGCGGAAAATCGATCTCTATGAAAAACGGTAAAAGAACAAAATTAGTCAAACTCTTTTTTTCCGTATCCAATATAACCTCTCTTATCTCTCCGACTCTCGCGTAATACAACGTAAAACGTGATGGCGACACTCAAATTAACTTAAATTAGTTTATTATAGTGTCTCATGTAAAAGGTACAAGTATTACAATCTCTAAAATATGTCTACTCACCCACCCTTACATCCAGTCTATATTAGACTTACGAGACACTCACTCTTCCCCTATCATTCTAGACTGTAAAAATATTACATATATGTACATACTTATAATTTTAAAAAATGCCAATATAAAATTATAAAAAAAAATTGACATGAAAAGACACATTACTGCTTAATTATAGATCAAGTTGCGACGTCGATTAAGAATATTAACACAGGTTTTGGCACAGGATCTCGCCAAGTAAGGGTTGCTTAGAATTACAACTAACTTTTCATCTTTACTCATATTGTAAAAATCACTTGTGATTTTACTAGCCTCCTGTAATAGACCCGATCGGAGATCAACATACAAGTTACATTCTATTAAAACATGACTCTCTGTTTCTACCACCACTCAAAGGTATTCTCTCATATCGGCCTGTTTCGATGCGTATCGGTGCAACCCAACACCTAAACTTAGCTAGCGAACTACGATGTGGTTTAGGCATTACTAACATATTATAATTTTCTACCTCATAATTAAACTCAAATAACCTGTACATACGTAGTTTGTTATCTCCAGAAACACAATTTTTGGCTCCGGGACGGTTAAGTTCCCTTTTCCAATTTTCAATAAACAATTCCAAGCCACGGACCTTAGCGTCCTTAAGTAAATGCTTACTATTAATTGGATCTTTGCTATAGTTATCCAAGCCTAGCTCCCCGAGTCTGAAAATTAACCTGAAGTTCCAATTTTTATTTCGGTGGTTACCTATATGCTCGCTCCATGTAAATACAGCCTTATTCAATCTAGTATCCGACAGATTATGAAGACGACTCCAATGTCTAAAAACAGCTTGCCATTGGTTCACTATTACTGGAGTCCAACCCATGTCCTCGCTAACAGCTACGTTAGGTGCATAGCGACCAAGGCCTAGATAAAGTCTACATGCGCGATTTTGAATAGCCACAATACAACTAAATGTACTTGTACTCCATATAGCAGCACTGGCCACACTGTACTCTCATACAGTTTTGTGAAGATCTTATATGGTAAGCCTTCCATTGATTTAGATTTAACTATTAACAAACCAAGTGCTCTACCCGTTGATTTGGCCACGAGCTTTGCTGTAATGATTAATACAACCCATGTACTAAATAAACATTTGCTAGCTCTTTTATTGTCTGCTTTACCAATACAAAAACTTCTACAAGAGACCTTATCGGAGACGATAAACGTCGGTCTAGTCCACTCTTGTTTATTTAAGAAACAACCAACGAATGTGCGTGTTATGGTGGAATATATAACGAAGGTGGGAAATATTAAAAACAATATTTAACGAAGGCCACTTAAGTTTATTATTTCTCCGACATTTTCGAATCCCGATTTTTATATTTCCGCCATAAAACACAAACATGTGTTGATTATATCAGTTCTACCAAGTAAAATGTAATGAAATCTTTTCCGTGTCTTCTTCGGTGTCCTTACGCCTATGATAAGCAAGATGACAAAGATAATCTCATTATTTTAGTTAAGCTGTTCTTTTGTGCGCATTAATATTTATCACATAATGCCTATGTCTTCATTTCACAAGTTGAACGTTTTAATCACTTTTGACCCTGTGGGTAGTTGTCCTATTTTGTCTATTTAACCTGGATAAATTTGGGAAGACTTTTCATTTTCAGTCGCAATTTGGTCAACAGATGATAAACAATAAAAACTTATTTCAATCAACCCAACGCACCAATCTATCGACATTGCTCGTCAACACATGAAATCATCAGTTTTTAAAAGATTAACAAACACTATTTCAAGTCACCTCCACCGTAAGTTCGGCGGGACATTCTGACCGTGAGATTGACAGGTTTAAAGTAGATACATTGTATAGGTATAGGTTATATAGAATCGGTCAAAATAAATGCGTGTCCTCATTCGACAAAGGAAACCAGTTATATGGCTTACTTGTTTACAGTTGCGGGGGGGGGGGGGGGGGAGGGATTTTTGGAAGAGCGTTGGTCTGTTGGAAATACTCATGCAAGAGCATTGACTATTTTGTTTTAAACATATTTTATATGCAAAAAAATACAAAAGTTATAAAATATCAAGTTCGCCTTCTCCGTTAAAACAATAATGATGATATACACATATGGCTGCAAAGTAGAAAATATTGATGATTATAAATTAAGATGATTCAAAAGAAGACAAGAATAAGATAAAATGTAGAAAAGATATATCTTATAGATTATTTTTTGTATTTAATGTAACCTTACATGTCTCTTTAACCTGTATTTAATATAAACACACGTTGTAACATTACTATAAACAGTTTATAGTTTATATTATCATATTGAAACTTCTGTCAATGATACATATCATATAGTCACTAAAACAAAATAAATTTAATGATTTAAAATTAGCTTTAAAATCAACCTGCATGTGTCAACACTGTGGTAGCTTGATGACGCAGCAGACCGCATCACACAAAGAGCACATCCTTGAAACTTTCTTTAAAACGCACCGCACCATGAGGTCCGCTTTCAACAAGTATACATATACATATCCTTGGCTTCCTTAAGCGTTCTGAGCTGGCTATAGGCTCCTTGCTATTCCGGATGCGATCCACTGCGTCATCATAGTACAACAATGCTTACCACGTAAAAGTATATTTACTTTTATTTTAACATATTTTTAACTAAGCCCTTTTTAATTTTTAATGTATCTGGACTATCGTCCTATATAATATGGCTATAAACCAATGAAAAGTGTTGTTACATCGCAATCGCGGAAGAACTTATATGTGCCCGTTATCTCTCCTACTCACCTCCTCGTCCTCTTTCGGCGCCTTCGTACTACTGTGGTCGTGGTCATCTATCTTCGCCAACAGTTTATCCTGAAGAACACAAAAGTTGAAACAACCTTAAATCATATGAAGAAATTTATATAGCTTTCTACAGCAGATTTTAAAATGTCAAAACACAGGGGTTAAATGTGGTGTCAATACGCAAAAACAATCCCGACGGAACTGATCATTAACAGACACCAGATCAAAATCAAAATATATTCATTACAGGTAAATAACGTGGTATACAGGTATGTTATCTCAGAACAGGCTGATACTTGAGTTATCACCTACATTAGTATATGTTTATGTACAAATGAGGTATCGTTGCAGGTCATGTGACTGTGTATGACTCTGACGTACAAGTGTCTTGTTGTCTACTGCAAAATGCAGTTTCACACGTGTCCCACGTAAGCAGTACATTGTATCAGTGTTTCATGACAGATCGAAACTCGTCCTAAGAGTCTGCACAGAAACCGGATATCCGGTAATAAGGATAAAGTCCTTGTCAGCGCGCTAAAGACGGTGGTCACTTTAGAGATATAACAAACATTCCTGACGACAGATTCCTCATCAATTAGATTTGCAATTTTCTCTTAAATCCTGTCGTTTTAGGAACTCATTGTTACTCTGCCCTGTCAAACTTGATGGCCGTAAGTTGTCTTAAAGGCATATGCTCTCTCGATATTAGTGGCGAGATTTCACGTTAATACATTTTGTATTGATCTAAAAGTATCAGCTAGCCGATCGAGAGCCGGATCACTCAAGGCGCTAGGAAGGCATTCCCCGTACACAGACACGAGAGACGGAACAATTACAGAATGGGATAGTACCGCATTTCACGTGCATACAAGTACACACGGAAACGGAGTAGGGGTAGATGCAGTATAGTTCTTCACTTATACACATGAGCCGGGACACTGAGGTAGTGGGACAGTACACCACTTTTCACGTACATAATCACGAGAGCCGGGAAACTGACGGAGTGGGATAGTACAGCACTTCTCAAGTTCATAATCACGAGAGCTGGAACGTTGACGGAGTCGGATAGTACAGCACTTCTCACGTACATAATCACGAAAGCCGGGACACTGACGGATTGGGATAGTAGACCACTTCTCATCTACATAATTATAAGAGCCGGGACACTGACGTAGTGGGATAGTACACCACTTCTCACCTACATAATCAGGAGAGCCGGGACACACACCACTTCTCACGTACATAATCACGAGATCCGGGACGTTGACGGAGTGGGATAGTACCCCACTTCTCACGTACATAATCAGGAGAGCCGGGACGTTGACGGATTGGGATAGTACCCCACTACTCACGTTCATAATCACGAGAGGAGTCAGAAAGAACACCACTTATCACGTACATAATCACGAAAGCCGGGACACTGACGGATTGGGATAGTACCCCACTACTCACGTTCATAATCACGAGAGGAGTCAGAAAGAACACCACTTATCACGTACATAATCACGAAAGCCGGGACACTGACGGATTGAGATAGTAGACCACTTCTCATCTACATAATTATAAGAGCCGGGACACTGACGTAGTGGGATAGTAAACCACTTCTCACGTACATAATCAGGAGAGACGGGACACTGACAGAGTCGGATAGAACAACACTTATCACGTTCATAATCACGAGAGCCGGGAAACTACCGGAGTGGGATAGTACAGCACTTCTCACAAACATAATCACGAGAGCCGGGAAACTGACGTAGTGGGATAGTACACCACTACTCACGTTCATAATAACGAGAGCCGGGAAACTACCGGATTGGGATAGTAAACCACTTCTCACCCACATAATCACGAGAGCCGGGACACTGACGAAGTGGGATAGTACACCACTTCTCACCTACATAATCAGGAGAGCCGGGACACACACCACTTCTCACGTACATAATCAGGAGAGTCGGGACGTTGACGGATTGGGATAGTACCCCACTACTCACGTTCATAATCACGAGAGCCGGGAAACTACCGGATTGGGATAGTACAGCACTTCTCACCTACATAATCACGAGACCCTTGACACTGACGTAGTGGGATAGTAGACCACTTCTCATCTACATAATTAGAAGAGCCGGGACACTGACGTAGTGGGATAATACACCACTTCTCACCTACATAATCAGGAGAGCCGGGACACACACCACTTCTCACGTACATAATCACGAGAGCCGGGATGGTGACGGAGTGGGATAGTACACAACTTCTCACGTACATAATCACGAGAGCCGGGACGTTGACGGGATAGGGATAGTACACAACTTCTCACATACATAATCAGGAGAGCCGGGACACTGACGGAGTCGGATAGAACAACACTTATCACGTTCATAATTACGAGAGCCGGGAAACTACCGGATTGGGATAGTAAACCACTTCTCACCCACATAATCACGAGAGCCGGGACACTGACGAAGTGGGATAGTACACCACTTCTCACCTTCATAATCACGAGAGCCGGGACGTTGACGGGATAGGGATAGTACACAACTTCTCACGGACATAATCAGGAGAGCCGGGACACTGACGAAGTCGGATAGAACAACACTTATCACGTTCATAATTACGAGAGCCGGGAAACTACCGGATTGGGATAGTACTCCTCTTCTCACCTACATAATCAGGAGAGCCGGGACACACACCACTTCTCACGTACATAATCACGAGATCCGGGACGTTGACGGAGTGGGATAGTCCACCACTTCTCACGTTCATAATCACGAGAGCCGGGAAACTACCGGAGTGGGATAGTACAGCACTTCTCACAAACAAATCGGGAGAGCCGGGACACTGACGGAGTCGGATAGAACAACACTTATCGTGTTCATAACCACGAGAGCCGGGAACCTACCGGATTGGGATAGTACACCACTTCTCACGTACATAAGCGGGAGAGCCGGGACACTGACGGAGTCGGATAGAACAACACTTATCTTGTTCATAACCGCGAGAGCCGGGAAACTACCAGATTGGGATAGTACACCACTACTCACGTTAATAATCACGAGAGCCGGGACGTTGACTGGATAGGGATAGTACACAACTTCTCACATACATAATCAGGAGAGCCGGGACACTGACAGAGTGGGATAGAACAACACTTATCACGTTCATAATTACGAGAGCCGGGAAACTACCGGATTGGGATACTACACCACTTCTCACCTACATAATCACCAGAGCCTTGACACTGACGTAGTGGGATAGTAGACCACTTCTCATCTACATAATTATAAGAGCCGGGACACTGACGTAGTGGGATAATACACCACTTCTCACCTACATAATCACAAGAGCCGGGACACTGACGGATTGGGATAGTACCCCACTACTCACGTTCATAATCACGAGAGGAGTCAGAAAGAACACCACTTATCACGTACATAATCACGAAAGCCGGGACACTGACGGATTGGGATAGTAGACCACTTCTCATCTACATAATTAGAAGAGCCGGGACACTGACGTAGTGGGATAATACACCACTTCTCACCTACATAATCACAAGAGCCGGGACACTGACGGATTGGGATAGTAGACCACTTCTCATCTACATAATTATAAGAGCCGGGACACTGACGTAGTGGGATAGTACTCCACTCCTCACCTACATAATCACGAGAGCCTGGACACTGACGGAGTGGGATAGTACACCACTTCTCAAGTTCATAATCACGAGAGCCGGAACACTGACGAAGTGGGATAGTACACCACTTCTCACCTTCATAATCACGAGAGCCGGGACGTTGACGGAGGGGGATAGTACACCACTTCTCACGTTCATAATCATTGGGATAGTACACCACTTCTCACGTACATAATCAGGAGAGTCGGGACGTTGACGGATTGGGATAGTACACCACTACTCACGTTCATAATCACGAGAGCCGGGACGTTGACGGGATAGGGATAGTACACAACTTCTCACGTACATAATCAGGAGAGCCGGGACACTGACGAAGTCGGATAGAACAACACTTATCACGTTCATAATCACGAGAGCCGGGAAACTACCGGAGTGGGATAGTACAGCACTTCTCACAAACATAATCACGAGAGCCGGGAAACTGACGGAGTGGGATAGTTCAGCACTTCTCACGTTCATAATCACGAGAGCCGGGAAACTAGCGGAGTGGAATAGTACACCACTACTCACGCTCATAATCACTAGAGCCGGGAAACTAACAGAATGGGATATTGCATCACTTCTCACGTACATAATCACGAGAGCCGGGAAACTGACGAAATGGGATAGTACACCACTTCTCACGTTCTTAATCACGAGAGCCGGGAAACTAACGGAATGGGATAGTACACCACTTCTCACGTACGTAATCACGAGAGCTGGGACACTGACAGAGTGTATAGTGCATCACTTCTCACGTACATAATCATGAGAGCCGGGAAACTGACGGAGTTGGATAGTACACCACTTCTCACGTTCATAATCACGAGAGCCGGGAAACTAACGGAGTGAGATAGTTCACCACTTCTCACATACATAATCACGATAGCCGGGAAACTAACGGAGTCGGATAGAACAACACTTCTCACGTTCATAATCACGAGATCCGGGACACTGACGTAGTGGGATAGTACACCATTCTCATGTACATAATCGCGAGAGCCGGGACATTGACGGAGTGAGATAGTACAGCACTTCTCACGTACATAATCACAAGATCCGGGAAAGTAAAGCTTATCACATACAAGCTAGATACGTCACATTGATGGAGTAGGGTAGAACAGTACTTCAAGGACATATACACGTTGGGCGTGATTTATTAAGAGATCGTTTGTTTATATTTTATTTCCGTGGTTCCAACTTTGTTAACTTAATCCCCCATTTGTCCCCAATTCTGCTTTTCTCAGTATTGATCATCCGGGTTTACAAATATGAACAAAATAAATGTCAAAATACAAGACTGAAATGGACAAAATTAATGCTAAATTTGAACTTTCCAACTGGATGTTTTACTGCATCTACTTATTAATTGACATTGCGTTTTAACACAATACCA